TCGTGGATTCGCGCCCGATCCATGGGCTAGCCACGTGAACATCTAAATATAGACCAGTTTCCCATTAAAGTGCTCCCGGTCCTCGTTGGCAGATCGCCCGTGTGTTACATTGTCTTATCCCATCAAACCAAACTATAAAATTATAGATGCAACCAGCTTGCGATATAGATATAAATATTACTACAGTATTTTAACTTGTATATTGATAAAAGCATATTTGAGTTGTACGGTTTGAGGGTTGTAGTGTGTAAAGATGAGATTTTTATTAATTTTATTAATTATATATATTTCTTTATCAAATTGATATAATTTTAAAACATGAAAATTATGTAATTAAAATTTGCAAATACATAATATATGCAAATACTGTACATAGGCCTAAATATTTATAAATACGTACGCAGTCCTGCAGAATTTTTATGAATTGTTTAAAAATGCAATTTTTCTAATTTGCATACATCCGAGTAAAAACAATTTCCCCCTAACTTTACTTATTATTTTAATTTTATTAAATACATCATTAATTAATAATTAACTATTTAAAACGGTCATAATTATCATAACTGAATATTAGGAGAGGCCGATGGTCGAGACACCGTAGCTGCTCTGGGGATCCGGAATCGAATCCCAAAAGTTTTTAGGGCGATCTGTCCCAGATATGTGGGGCCTCGTCTCTCTCTAGCTGGCCTCTCCCATTGTAGGCCTGTCCAAATTCGTAATGGGTATGATTCAAAAGCCCTTTTATTACGTAGGACGGAAACTACAAGTTCGGATATTGAAAAAAAGAAAACATTTTAAGCTGGTAAAATTACACAAAGAACAATATACGAGTATATATATAATTTTTAAATCAAAAATGAAATCTTTCGTGTGACAAAACTTGTTGCCTTTTCTGTTAACAAATGCAGTGAAATATAAAGGTTGGTGACGTTCGTATCTTTATTTTATATAATTAGCTGCACTGCACTAGAATTAAGCGATAAATTTAATAGTACATTTAAGAATTATCGTGTCAAAAGCTAGATCCCGGAAGTTATGTTCTGAACAAGTTGCAAATAACTATAATTTCACGCACGAATATTTTAAAAAGCCTCTAAATATTTCATTCGATATAACTAATGGCGTCTCATATCGGCAGACTGTCTCGGGAGGACAACTCGGTAAAAACATTCATTTTAACTTAAAATTCATCAAAATATTATTCGAAATCAAAACAATTTTAATAAGGTTGTGTTTCCGCACTCTCCTGCCACCAGCCGACACTGTGTAGTATAATGCGGAAACAAACTCAATATTATTGTGAATAAAAAATATGTGACTAAAGAACAATACAGAGAGAAACTCAAACGACAAAACTTGTTTCCTATCTAAATTCAGCGTCTTCTTTTCAATTAGGCTACAGGACCGTCGAAAGGTTTGACGGAGCTTGGGCTAAATCGGGTCCTTTTTCTGAATAAATGAAATACCTAGAAAGTTGTCTTCTAGTCATTTCATTTATTCACCACTGTTATTTTCACTAACATTAATTTTATAAGTGTTCGGGTCTGTAAGTTTCAGTGGTGCCCAATCCATGGAAGCTGTGAGAACGCCGCTTCCCTTGTATTTTCTAAAATATATACAGACTACATATTGCGCGATTATTTTCATATTTTAACTTACTTTGAATTAATTAAATTAATATTTTATTATAACCGCATTACGTAACTTATTACAAATTTCTATATTACGTGTAAAAACCAACGATAACATTGCTATTGTATATTCGAATATAAATTGGTATATGCATATTTCCAATGGAAGCGCCGTATTGTCGAATACTCAGGCCCGTCGTAAGCGGGCGTACAAGGCGTGCACCGCACGCGGGCGGCGGCAAATCGAGCGATCGGTCACGTAATATTCAAAGTCATTGTCATAATACCCACCCTACTTATAGCGTAAGAAATGTCTTCGCACAGAGAAAAAAATCCGACCGGCGCGCAATTACTATATTCTTATTTATATTATAGCGTTAACGGCGCATCTATTGGCATTTATCAGAATTAGGATGCAATGCGAAACGTCTGTCGGCAGGTTGAAGCATCCGGCGGCGCCCGAAAGCCAAGTACTCATAGTCGTGCTCTATGACAGAAGTCGACAGGACTGGCGAAAATAGGCAATCCCCACAGAGCTTCCTTCTCAATTTGTACTTGCATTCGAACAGTTCTATCGCGTATCAAATTGCAATTATTTTGTTAATAATTCTTCTGACATGGGTCTAAGTATAATTAATGATATTTTAACTTGGTTAGGATTTAAATCTGAAGCTTAAAGACGATTCAAGTAGTGAAACAGACATTGACGGTATTGATTTGTTTAATGAAATCAATACTTTAAAGTTGCATTTTCCAGAAAACCAGTCTAATGATCCACAAACCCTATTACAATATCTTTTTACTAATGACTTAATTTCAACATTTCCGAACACAGCAATAGCACTAAGAATATTACTTACATTGCCGGTTTCAGTTGCATTTGGTGAAAGGTCCTTTTCAAAGTTAAAAATTATAAAAAAAAACTATTTAAGATCAACAATGCAACAGCAAAGACTAAGTAATTTAATTTATAGCTATAGTTTCAATTGAACACGAAATCTTAGCTTGGATACAAGAAAATTGATAGCAGATTTCGCAAACATAAAGCCAAGAAGAGTTCAACTTCTGTAGATAAATATTTATATGGTTTTACACTTAAGTGAACAAAAATAACTTAATAATAATAAATAGTTTTTTTGTAAAGTATGTCTTTTCTTTTTTCACACCCTTATGAGACAACACTAAAGAGCCTTTCTGGCAAGCTTAGCGCAGGTAGTCGTAGTTAAACAGGGGGCGGCATAATCGGTATTGCACATGGGCGTTCAAACAGCTAGCGGCGCCCCTAATTGTAGGGCTAAACATTTGTTCACGCCTGGGCCGTGTTCAGTAACGCCGAATTATTGCTAAGTCTAGTTGTGCTGCGATGTCGTGTTGAACTCGACTCTTCCCACCAACTAGAATTCTATCTCGTTCAGTCAGCTTCTTTTACGGTAACTTCTACTAGTGACGTCATTGTTTTTGTCTCGTCTTACGATTCGCAAGATGGCTGCTCGTGTAACTAAACGTATTTTATGATAACTATCACAAAGTTATTATGTCATTCTAAAATTACTTGGAAATGTAAAATTATCAAACGTCGGTATAAGAGATTCCGAATACATTTTAACGGAAGATAGCGGTCCATTTCGTTGATTACAATTAATAATTGCTTTGTTAAATAAATTAATTAATTTCATGGCAATCTGAGGCAGCTTCCGTTTGAATAATTTATTGGTTATTTCGTCCTTTTGGCGATCATAATTTTAACTTGGTCCACCATTTCGCCCAGTTGTCTAGCTAAGAATAATCGTTGGATGATGCTCGGAACATTCTTAGCTCCGCCACTAAGCCATTCGGAATTTTAACGCGATTCTGGACACCGTTGTCTCTGAAAGATTTTCTCGTCTTACAGAGATGATTGGAAAGACCTCATCTATCGACCAGTCTTTCGTCTTTCGTCTGTAACCCTAATTTCGTTACATCCAGTATGGACGTATTAGAGAACATCCTGTCTCGGGAAAGAATATTACGAGATAGAGATAACGCTTTTGATAATTTTTTTAAAGCTGCGACTTTACATTTCACTCGGAAACGCTACCGACTCTATCTTTTTTTTATGATTCTGCATAAAATACTGAAATATTAGGTGCGACATACACGTATCCAAAACTTAAAAACGAGGAAGGAGTAGACCAATCTGTCCCAAGAACACCCGAATCACTGGGTTACGAGCTTGTCTGACGTGCTGTATCGCAGTTGGAAATGGGCATATTCCATACTGACAGGTCTGTCTGCCTGGATGTTGGTAAGTATTATCCATCCATTCTCTACGTACTGTATGTCCGACTGTTGTATCTTTATCACCAGAGTTACTTTTATTGCTTTGGTTTGTAAGATCTTACAAGTTTTGGCGCATTATCCTTTGTTAGACGTCGAGTTCTTATTTTATTTGTTTGCATTCATCTACAATTCTCTACTCGTACAAATGTTGTCCGTCCTTAAGTTTTGGACACGTGTGTGGTAATCCTATCCGTTACTCGAAAGCATCCGTCTCTCGAAGTATGTTTTGAAATATTTCCATCTAATTTCCTCTTAGCTATGTATCCAACGCTTTTCTAACTCCGCTAATAAAATTTATTTGTTCAGAGACAACGTTACCCGAAAAATTTTGACATTGCAATCCATAAAAACTTCATAAAAGAAAACAAAATTTCGTGCTATAAACCTCGTGTTGTATAATTTTACACTCTGCAATAACGAGACCATTAGGAGTCGCCTTTGTCTCCGGAAGATGAGATTCGTCATTCGTGTCTCAAAGAAGAGATGAGAGACAAGTGTCCAGAATATGACCCCAGGTTCTGTAAAAAAGAGTCTCTTAGTTTCCGCGGGGCGTAAATAGAAAAAAACTTATACAATTTGCCTGCAATTTGTAGTTTAATGTTTTTAATCTAATGGATTGATGGGATAAGACAACGCGATTGGGATGATTTGCCGAGGGAGGTTACCTTCCGGCAGGATCTTCTATGAGTAAATGGCCATTATTTAAGTGTTAGGCGTGTGAAGAAAAACCCGGAAAACTGTACACAGCCAGCCATTGAGCATCGGCAGTTGGTCGCCAACCCACGACCAACTGCCAGTGCTCGATGGTTTTATCCATTAGGACTGGCGGGTTTGAATCTAAGGCGAATGAAATATAAAGTATCAAAAATTTAAAATAATCGAAACAAATTTTCCAACCGGACATGTAAACAATTTTTCTTTTTTCAAAGGTTAAATGACTTTAAAAATAAAATCAAATTTGAAAAAATAATTAATCTTTAATGTATATATATGTATATACATTTTAAAATACAAAACAAAATAAAATTTTACGTACTAAAATATTTTAAAATATTTTAACTATAGTGCGCTGTACACTACGTATACACGATATCATTTGTTTTTAATACACCGCAACGATTTTTTTTGAATTTAAAATAACAAATGGATAAAAAATCCCGTACATATTGCTTAATAAACAAATACATGTATCTAAAAATACATTGTACAAAAACTAAGACAGTAAAAAATTAAACTATTTATATACAAATATATATATATTTTTGTACATACAAAAATACTAATACTGTAATATACTATGACTAATGTTTATATGTATTGCGTGCATGACGGAATTAAGAATCATTTTGAGTCACTGACTCAATTCGAGTGAGAGGAAGATGTCGACTTAACTCCACGTTGACATTATTTTCAGAAATTTCAGCTTGAAAAAAGACATTTTGAAAGTCTAAGGCTCTTGATAAAATGCTGAATTTTCTTGGATTTCGTATTTATCATTTGACGAATCTTTTTCTATCATAATCATAGTTTTTAAACCAGATTTCCAATCGTCTTTCAGTTCTTCGTCGGCAGGACCCCATTCTTCGGTAGGGATGATGGACTGCTTGAATTTCTATGACACAAGAATTACGGAAATGAAAAAAGTATTATGGAAAATCTTTAAGGTTTTACAATCCTTACCATTTTTATGTCTTTGCCATTCTGTTTTAGCACCGTATATACGGCCCAAATGGGTATTTGCACGATCGAAACGAGTGCCAAGAACCAACCGATTCCGTCTGCCCAATCAGGATAATCGTAATCGCCATATTTAATGGGTTTGTGCTTAATTAAGGAATAGATAAACACCATCTGAAATCCAATAAATTATATTTAAAATGAGTTTTTTCCCTACAAATTAACATTTCATAAACTTCGTACTTACGGCTAATATAAGAGGCGCCGTAACGGTCCAAGTGATTCTCCAATAAGCATTGGGTCTTGTGCCTAACATGAATTTAATATCGTCACAGAACCGATCGACTCCTGTAAAAAGACAAAGTATATTTAGATGTGTTTATCGCTCCGGACTTAAAAGAAATATTCAATACAGAACATAATACTTACCATAGATCCACATTAATGCTACACTTTCCATCACAGCTACTAATACTATGGCTATCCCTCCTCCATATTTGTCCATTAATTCCAAGACGTATTGTCCTCCCTGAAGATCAAAATATTCATTTTCTAAATAATCGAAACACGAATACAGTAAATCCTCGATTTAATGGGCTAATTGGGGAAAAGCGGTGCCGCTATTGCCCAAAGTCTGATAAATCGAATGTGTTTTAAAAACGCACATTATATTAACAATCGAGTGAAAATCAGCCAGGCAAATTAAAACGGTTTTACACTTTTCCTTATAAAACGAATTTTTTGTTTGCCGAATCGAGGATTTACGGTATTTACTTAAAATAAAACGTTGATTTCATACTCTGGTAACACAGGGAAGACCTAAAAAGAAGCAGACAATTCCGGCTACAATGCAAAATATCATCTTGTGCTTTCTTAAGATGGGAAATTCATCGGACATACTCGTTAAGACGTTCTCTAGGAGTGCAAACTACAAAAGAATATTTATAAAATTCTTTACTTTGTAAATAAACTGAGAATATTTTAAATGAAAAAATAGAAAAAATCGACTCACTTCGCTGTCTAGACCGAGAATAAACAACATTAGAAAGAAAAGTACGGCCCATAATTGAGGCACTGGAAGTCTAGAAAGTGCATCGGGATAAGCCACAAAAGCCAGTCCTGGACCTGCAAAAATAAAGTTTTTTTCTGTTTTAAACCACAAATAAGGGATAAAGAAAAGCCTGTTTTAGCCTCAGAAATAGTGTTTATGTTTAGTTTGCGTATCGTAACTCGCTACTCGAAAGCGCGACTAAATCGCTTTTATATAAATGAAATGTTTAAATGGACTAAAAACTAGATGAATATACTTTTTCTATACATATGATATTTTTTAAAGAAGAAACTCTCACCACTGGCTACCACATCTTCGATATTATCACCGAGATCGTGAGCCATAGCTCCCAATACTGAGAAAATAACCATACCCGAAACGATACTCGTTAATGTATCTAAAATGCTCACCACCATGGCATCTCTGAAAACATATAAAATATTAAATATCTTAATATTTATAATGATAGCAAATTTGTTTAATTACCTAAAAATATTATTTCTAAAGTCATTGTAGCTGCTGTACATAATTAAAGCTCCCATAGATACGCCCAAAGAGAAAAACATTTGTCCGGCGGCCGCTTGCCAAACCTTAAAAAAAAATGAGAAATTTATTTCTTGTTTGCCGAATATTCGACTTATTTAATTACCTGAATGTCTAATAACTTGTTCCACGTTGGAGTTATAAAGTAAAGAACTCCCGTAAAAGCTCCTTCCTGTATCAAACCCGTTATCAAGAGCGTTATGAGTATAAAATAGGGGAAGGTTGCGGCGAAGTAAACCACCTGAAAATCAATTTAAAATATAAATTCATCCAGCAAAATAAACAAAAACTTCTATTTATAAGACGTTTAATTTAAAAAAGTATTCATGGAATTTTTAACTGGCGCGTATGACGCACTAGCTTACGTCACCAACACACCTCTTCCAGTTTGTTGCCAAATTAACTAAAGCTTTCGCGTTGACGGATGACGTATAATTTTAAATTACTTATTAGAAGAAAGTGGTTTTATCTGAAAGTACATTCTTTAGATAAGAAGAATTTTCTACTCTCGACGAAACAAGATGAAGAAGAAAATTCGATAAGGAACAAGTTCGAATGAGAATTAGATTATAAAGAATTCGGCGTAATAATAGGCCCATTTCAAACAGGACATTTACTCTTATCTCGACCAAGAATCAAACAGTCTTTCCAACTGTCTACGATAGACCCAGGCCTTATTATAGTTTCCTCTTATCCGCCCACTTCATCGCATTAAATAATTGTCCTTCGAGTGGAAGGAACGGAGACGTAGATGGCGAATATTCTATGATAAATATTATATAAAGTAGCGTTTGGCTTACCTTTCCGGACGTCTTTATTCCTTTAATGAGACAAATGACCACAATAATCCAAGAGATCAATAGACATAAGGCTAATTCCCATTTAATCCCTCCTAGATTATCGATGCCGTCCGTCAGTTGCAAAACGGAACGTCTGCGTGTTTAAACGTTTCAATTATTATAAAACCCGGGGATTATTATTTAAAGTAATTAATGCCATGTGCCTCTATCTACGTATATTGTTCAAACATTTATTTAAGCCAACTTACTCCCAATATACTTGACTGGAAGTCTTGGAGTGATTCGTTGTGTGGTTAAACTATCGAAATAAATAACATTATAAATAGTAATAATTTAAATTAGAGAAAAAAGCTAAAATTAAGGCGGAATTTCCAAGTAGGGAGTCGCGATCAACCAAAGGAGTCTTTTTAGACTTACTTCTTCTCCTCTGATGTGGCAGGTGGTACCGGAAGCCCATTCCGGATCGCACCTGCTCCAAGGTACGACCGATTGAAACGAAGCTCCTATGTAGTACAGTGTGTACGCCATGATCACGTTATAATAAATGACTACAATTAGACAGACGGTCACCATGGCATATCCTATTCCTACGGTATCAAAGTTTTAGTACTAACATTAGCGAGAACAGTGAGATAATTTTCAAATATTTCTTTACCTTTAGCTATGGGTAAACACGACCATATGGAAAGAGGGCCCAACCCGGCAAACTGTCCAAAAGATAATTCCATAAAGTACATGGGCTTACCTGCCAGAAGTAGCATTAGCAGGTACGGAATTAAAAACGCGCCTGGAAACGTTAGAAAAACGTTTAAAATTAGAAATAAATAAATAAAAAAGATAAGATATTGCGTAATTTTTCACACTTACCGCCACCATTTTCGTATGCCAAGTAAGGAAATCTCCATACGTTTCCGATCCCCACGGACAAGCCGACGCAGGAGAGGAGAAACTCCCATTTGCTCCCCCAATTGCCTCTACTGGCTATACTTTGAGTAGATGGTCTTCGTATACTAGCGCTTCCGATTCTGCTCTGGATGAGCGAGGCCCTTCGAAGGGATGCCCTAGAAAAAGTAGAAGCGCGACGAGTGTTGGCATGATGAGGAATATCTTCGGATTCGTTAAAAGAAACCATGCGTTCCATCGGACGTGGCTTTTTCTTCGTCAAAGGAACACTCTACAACGAAAACAAACAATGAATTCTCCTCTTCCAACCTTCAATTTAGGAATTTTAGAGATCTTTCTAACCGTTTCCTCCATAATCGCGATATTAGGAGCGTGAGATTGCGACGTCATCTCTCTGCGCTTTTATGGAATATATTGAGGTAAATAATACAGTTCGAAAAATAAAATTGACACGGAAGAAGATAGATTAATTATCTTCTTTCTAAAATAGATACTCAGATGCTATCCAACGTGGCCGTGCCAAACGATTGGCGAACTAATAATAGTGTGTTGTTACTCGTACGCAAAAATACCACGCGAATTTAATAAATATTAATCTTACGTTGATCTAATTGACTCTTTAGAATATGCGTAACGCGGTTAAAGTCTTCCTTAACTGTTTAAAAATGTGCATGTATTTGTGACGTCTTCTTTCCACGTAATTACACAGAAAATAATTGTTTGTGCCCGTGATAATCGACGTAAACTCCTAAAAAATGAGAAGGAACGCCTGCGTTGTATATACAACTTTAACCTTTCCTTAGAGAAGATGATGATGCGAATTCCTTCACCTACTAACATCGCTTTTGTACGCTTACGCACGACTTTCAACCAACCTCAAATAGCCTTACACATAAATTATGACGTGAAAAATTTGTAAATCGCACCGACACTAGGACGTTACAATCGTCGGAAAACTTGTTTCAGTACTTACTCGAAAAAAGTTCGTTTACCAACAGAGAAAGCTTTTTCACAACACAGGCTTGTCGCACGTGGGAGCCGTCATTTTCAGGGGAGTCAGCTTTATAAAGAGGATGGTGAATTATTCGTCGCGTGGCGTAAATCCCGTCAGTTTTATTCTCCAATTATGACGTCATTTCAGGATCTAAAAGGTTATCGTAAGACGCATTCTTTGGAACACGTGACGAGCCTTACAATGAATTCCGTCAAGACAGAGTTTGTTTTTTTGTCAAATATGCTTTAAATAAAGGAGTGAATTACAAACGACTCCTTAAAGTCATCTCTCCTCTTACCAAACAAACAATAAATTTCGTCATCTTTTGATATTTTTACGCCATACTTTTTCGATAACTATTCTATTTATCCGACACGTACCAAAATTACGTTCTCAAGCACGTCACGAGTTTTATATAACGTTCTCTCGGCTACGTATTAAGTAGCTCAGAGTTAAATGTTATTAAATTTACTATTATGGCATAAGGACAAATCTTAAAGCAATAATAAGCGAGAAATAACGATTTAGGAATCCGCATCCTGCATTCTTTTTTCGTTTCTACCGAACTTTTAACGCATACTTGGACCATAAAGTGCGCCGCTGTTTATTCTCCGGCATCAATTTCGAGCGTATCTTTGGCTACTCCCACACCCGCTTCCTCGAAAAATTATTACACGGGAATTAGTCGCGAGAAAAAAATGTGACTCACTACTTCGTCTTCGTCCGGCTGATCGGCCATATTTACCTCCTCCAACTCCATGTCGTCTCGAGGGATTGAAGTCGATCAGCAGTTTGAGTGTTTCCGCATGACAGTCGTCAATCCATGTAGTGAAGCCAAGTTTTAAAAATGTTCTCTCTCCTTTCTATTTATATAAAGTCGTCAGGTTGATAATAACGGGTCAAGGACTGTTTCTCCACCTTTCTACGTTGCTTCTGTTTATTTAGAAAACAGGTTGCTAATTGATTGTCTTTAGTTTGTCTATCGATAGACAAACCACTATTCGAATATTCCAACTCAAACTAATTCGAATATTTAAATAATGTTCCCGAATGACGCTTCGTCAATAATTTCATACAGTTTTCATGGTGTTAATTTAGCTCTCTCGCATGCATTTATTATTTTTTAATCTAATAATCGTTTGTACAGAGATTTAAAATCGGTGAATAAAGAACACAACTTGTACCAACTTGTATAGAAAAATATTCTTAAGTGACCGATTTGGTGGTAGAAGAAAGCATTTTATAGAAAGTCGAGACAATGAGTATTCGTAATTATACACTCGAACCTCTGATAACGGCCATTTTTTCGGGAACACTTCTTTTTCAAACGCATACAAAATAATCTCCAAACGACGGACACGTTTTTAATGTTCCCATCAGTGGCCATTGTTCGAAGGTTTGACTGTATAATGAAAATGTACTGTTCTGTTCATTGTTTTAAAAACTATTAAGATGTATCGAAACAATTGTCTGTGTGTGTATGTGTTTTTTTTTAAATATATGATTTACATGATTTTCAAAAGTATTTTATAGAAGAGACGTACGAATGGGATCCTTAAATGCCCAAGTTTCGCATTGTTTTCACACATTAGGCATTTGTTAGCATTTTAATTGATCCTAAAAACAGTGGTGAAACACCAAAGAAGTAATTTATATTGTCGTTTCTTTTTGATTTTAAAGTTTTGCGTTAAATTCAAGTTTTAGTATTAAAATATGGAACCGACGTCCGAGAACGAAGTTCTTATTAAAATAATGAGAAAAAAGTGGCTTATCGCAAAGCGTAAACACGTTAACCAAAGTGGAATAATAAAGGAGAAATTCTTAAAAGTGAAGATCGAGTGTCACACTCGAGAAAATGTAAGATAATATCAGAAGTGCACTCGACGAATACACTTTTTTACCTCGTTGAAGTTCGTCCAGAGAATGAGAAACGACCTTACAATTACTTTAAGTTTACATACGCTAACGAGGATTTACCAAATAATAAATCTTAATTAAAAAAATAAGTCATCGCCGTCGTCTCAAACTGTAATAAATTATTTCAGTGTTCTCATCCATTAAATGCACCGTAGAAGCGTATTTTAAGGTGAATTTTCCGTCCATTCCCCTAACATTTTCGAACTTGTGAATTAATTTAGAATTTTGGTAAATTAAAAAAAATGTTGTAAATATAGAATAATTCAAGTGCACTTCCTCATTCTTGATAGGAAAAGATTTTCTACTTTTGTGTAACGCGTTAGTGAAGAAAAAATTGAAAATTGCCTGACATTGAAGGATGACTCCGTACAATTAATGCCTTGTTCGATAGTAAAGACAATACGGCCAAAAAAATGTCGTATTTACAAATGACCTTCGAAATCACGAGATTATTTATTGTCGTAACGAATTTAACGAATCGTAACGTTTATAGTGTCCTATGCACCAAATTGGTGCCATTTTCGTCTTCCGGAATACCATCGAAGCGGCATCTCTTAGGTTCAAACGGGGTAGAATTACAAATAATATAGAAAATTACAAAACGTATATAGTTTGAGTAGAGGTACAGTATAGCGAGGAACCATTAAATGTTAACAGTATAGCAAAAGTTGAAAGAGAATCAATATCTGTCGGGAGGATTATTACAGTTTAGATTAGATTTTTAATTAAAAATTTTTCATATACCGATCTGTTACCAACGTTTTTTGTTTTCGGATTCGCTTTAAAAATTGATTTTTTTGCTGTAAATTTTCTTTATGCCAGGAAAAATTGGACAGAGTTTAATGTAGCTTTGTATTAAACAAGCCCACCACAGTGTAGTGGATAAAACTAGTACTTATGGCGAGTTGGTGGGTTTTCTTCACCCGTTCTCCACCTAAGCCTGGTCCAGTTTACAATTGAAAGTCCTCCCGTAAAGCGGATCATTGCCTTGTCCCGTCAATCCAATCCAATTAAACAATATCAAATAAAAACCATTATACAGATATGTTCTTTCTTATCGAAGATATTTTTCTCATTTTTAGACGTCAAGATTTGTATATCGAGATTATTATTTTAACGAAAAGCGTTTAAATTTTTTTCTTTTAAATTTAATTTATCTCATTCCAGTTACAGAATTGATCGAAAGATGTGTGCTCATCATACGAAACACCAGAAATAAAACATTAATTCCAGATATACACTTAACACGTGCTTGTAAGTTTTCTATAATTATATATATTTCTTCACAAATTCACAGAATCGAGAATATTTAATTAACAAACTTGTTTTCGAATTCATTTTATTATTATTTTTAAAATATCGTTTACGAAAGTAATTATTTGATGCCACTTTGCATTGTTCACAAAATTCTTTACTTCAGTGAAAGATATCCTCGTTAATGAGTTAACAATTGTCTTTCCAAGCTAACTTTAAGTAAAATTCCTGTTTCTACTCGTATTGTTTAGACTCGATACAAAAGATTAGCATCCTAATCTTTATCTAGCATCCGTTAGGGAGCAGAATCGAAAAAAATTATGAAGATGGCGGATGTTTAGTGGACGGAGTTTATTTAAAATCATTTCATCAATTACATTAAAACTAAACTCGGCAAGTCGATCTCGGGAGGAGGATCTACAACTAAATTACAAAACGTCGGTCTAAAGGTAGCTTGGATAGACAGTCTCTCATTCTTTAATGAAACGAAATGAAATGAAATTCTACCGTATTAAAAAACAACAGCAACAAAATATTTGTCATCGTGTTTACTGACTCATTGACATACCAGCAATCTTGTCGAGATCACGACACCGACTATACTCAGAAGTGTTTTTTACAATGTCCAGATGCACAACATAAGAGTACTTTTTACTCGTCATTACAACAATACAGATATACATCCATCAACGACATTTGGGAAAAGATGGTCGGTGAATGGTATTCTGTTGTTTGGAAATTGCTGGACAAATAAATCAACAAAATTAACATTAAGATATTTTGCAATGCATAAAGGTGAATAGTTTTTCTGGAAAGTTATAGGAATTTCCAGGAGAAAACGAAGAAATTTTTCTTTTTTTATGGAAAAGCCTAGGACTACGCAGTTTGGTGGACTTGCATAGATAGAGGTAATAGTGGGATTCGGGTTTTGGGATTCACTTGGTGTCTCTGTAGTTTGGTTTACCTGTAAAGAGGAATCGGATAATTTAATCGATAATGCAAAACGGAATAAAAATTTCTTGCTTTTCAAAACGTTACCTGTTAGAAGGGAAATAAACGATACTTCTAAAGGTACAGAACCTCTTCGTGGTTGGCACAACAGCCGCTCTTCGATGGCAGAGATCCCTGAGGCACCTCCTTGGTTTGCCAGAGGTAAGGATACGTTTGTACAGAGCTGCTGATCACTTCTGGATCCTCTAAAAAACGACTCGGGACAATGAGAATCGACCGAATAGGATTGCCTGGGCAAAATAAAACGACCAGAAGACGGTGGGGGATCGGAAGATATGTCTGTTGTCCTGGAGCGCCAAAATCCACTGAACAATTCTAATCCACCGGATCCTCTTCTGGGAAGACTATGGGTGGGTGGTTGAGCAGTACTAGAATTCGGAACGGTATCGATCGACGTCGTAACAATACCCTGCAAGGTGGCCAGCGTTCTAGCCGAACCTATTAGGGCGCACAGTAATTCACCGGCCGAACCGCGTCTTCTGGTTTGATCCCAATCCAGATTCAAGAGTTTAACGTCGTCACTTCCGCCTCTGTCCTTCAATTCTTCGAACGAAGGTTTGGATGGAAGTCTGGTCCTGTTAGTAGCGGTGGCGGCCACGGAAGGGACACGACACATTAACGAAATTGGAATGTCCGTGGGTAGGGAACCGCGTCTTTTACCCAACAATGTCCTATTTGAGAGGAAACATGGATAGAAAACGTCTTGACTCTCGGAACAGATACTTTCCTCCGTCTCGTTACTCTCCGTATAAACCGTGCCCCGACTGCTGAAACTCTTCCTGGGACAGTCGCCCGGAACGGTGCTGCTCCTCCTCGTGCTGCACGTGGTTCCCGTGCTGGTCGGTTCCGTACTGGAGCCATCACATTCCGACTCCGACGATTGGATGGATAAAAACGGTTCTAGTAAACCGAAACTGTGACGACGAACCAGTTCCTTTTGTAACGGCCTGTGTCCAATGGGAGATGGAATGGTTGGATGATCTTCTAAATGTTGTTGCGACAGCAACACTGAAATGTGAAAAAGAAATTATTAATATATATATTCTATTAACCCGTTGCGTACAAAGAAATTTTTGATATTAATGTAATTAAACATAAAAAATATTTAAAACTGAAAAAAACGAAAGAAATGCGTTAATTTTGAAGAAAAATCTTCAAATTTTATTTTCCTTTGTTTCGCCTTTCTGCGAAATCCGACGCCGATAAGTCATTGTTTACACAGCTGGCGTCGGATTTCCCGGGGCATTTTCATAGAAGTCTCGGGAGGCGATGGGTTTATAGTAGGGCGAATACTAGCTGGCCGTATATTTTTAATATTTTTAAAAAATTAAAATTTTTATTGCAATTTCCGACCCCCCCCGACTTAATTAAACTTATAGAGGAGAAGGTGGTATTATGGAACACTGCGGGTATTATGGAACCACCCCATTTCGAACTGATAATAAAGGCGAACTGTAGCGGAATGTGGCTGAACTGAACTAGGCAGACATCCATAGCAAGGGGAAAACCCGTTTTACTTCAGTTAAACGGTTGTCCGTATTTAATCAGCAAATTTGTTTTTTTCAAAATTCGCAAGTTTTGAATGCTAAGTGAATTTAATTATTTTTAAAATATAAATCGTGTAGTTGTAGGTTCACTGGTGCATGTATTCCGTTCCAGAGACTTAGGGGTACATATTAATCTGTGTGATGTTCACGTTTTTTAAATTTTGGTCTCGACAGACATAAGTTAATTCGAGATGGCGATGCGTGAAATACGGACCCCTTTGGTGCTTTTACAGTAATATGGAACTCAACTCCTCCGAACTCTCTCTTTGCAATCAGACATTCGTCCGGAGCAATTTGGGAAAAAGACACTAGGTAGAAAGTCTGAAAATATCGAAAAAGAGCTGCTGGAATATATATTGTTGATGGAGGTCATATTTTTCTATTATAAAAGCATTTTTGCGATAAAATACATTGGAGTAAATAATTTTGTAATTATTTAACATTTTTTGTCCTTTCCTATTTGTTTTTGGCTACATTAAAGCATTTTTTTGAAAATATACAGTAAGGTTCCATATTACCACCCGATTTTCTCTAAGCCTACTTTCGGACTTTTTGTACAAAAGCCTTCAAAAACCATACTTATAGTTACACTAGCGAAAAATCCAATTAGGAACATTTAGATTACTAGTTACCAGTACTTTTCGCACAAAAAATGTGGGTGTAGTTATGATACCTTGTTTACAATTCACTAAAATGTAATTGGGGTTCCATAATACCACCTTCTCCTCTATATAATAAAATCTATTAATTAAAAAATTTAAAAACTATTGGAGGTCGTTTTTGATATCAGAAAGTAGCTTTAAATAACTTTACCGAAGGAAAATCGGTGCACAACAACTTTAGAACGATGAATGAAATTTGATATCAAACTCCTATTAAAAAACAACTAAAAAGCAATAAAGCGTGAATCGTGCGTCATTAAAGGGTTTTTAAAATCGCGATAAAATTTTTTCGCGCGGGAAAAAAATTTTGAAAAAATTTGGAGACTTAAAAAACATTCCAAAAATATAAAAAAAAAAACGAAAATTTTTAGAGGGTCTAAACACCCGAGTTTTATGTAACGCTATGTAACTTGCCCGAGATATCTCGGGATATGTCCTTAAGATATTTTATCGACACTAGTTTCGAGTTTTTATATTAAGAAACAATAATATAAAATTAGAAAATACCTCGATGCTATTTTTCAAATCGAAATTATCTCTTAATCTTCAAATGAAGTGTTTTCAACCGTCATAATCTAAAAACAATTTTTTTCTATTTACGTAGACGGTCGTTGTTCAATAGAAATGCCTAATATAGGGTGACGGTACAGAGTAACTGTTCTTATCTCTGTAGAAATAACTCAACAGAAACGCGTATTCGATTTTCGGCGAAATTTGGTTCTGCTGTTCCCTTAATTAATGTGAATATTGCCTAAAAAATTTCAACTGTAAAGGAAGTCGCCCAACTAGTAGGCTATTGGTTTCGTCGATAAAAGATTAACACAATCGGGCAAAGCCAGTTGTAGAATTGTGAAGAACGTTCTGCAACTCTCTTTACAACCGAAATTCCTTAAAAAATGCACGTAACACGCGCACTAAGGAAACAGCAGCGTAAAATTTCGCCCTAGCGGCTGAATTTTGTAGGAAAAGGGTTTTCGAAAATCGAAACTGCACAGTCAAGAACATCGATTTTCGCCGATATTTGCCCAAAAGTTATTTCTGTAGAGCTTTAACATTTTATCGTTACACAATACAGAAAGAGCATTCTAAAGCATTTTATTGTCGATTTATATAACACATTATAAATCCTCATTTTTAACTCAGAGTTTCACATACATTTGGCTTTCTTTCAAGATTTACTAAACGATACAAAATTATTTCAGGAGCAGAATGAACGCGTACGATGTCTCCTGATACTATTTGAATAGGTGTTTACCATGACCACAATACTCGAAATAAGTATAGCGGCGATAACGACTATTTCATCGTAAAATGACGATAAAGTATATACAGGCGTATATACGGAGGAAGGCGCATTTATAAATATGTCTGTTGCTTATCTGTATATATTAATAATACAGACAGACATGTTTACAGTAGAGCGTCGTTTATCCGAAAGCAATCCAGTCGGCAAATTTAAATTTTCGCTAGTACTGTGGCACTGCAATATTTGGCTATATCTTGGGCTACTCCAATATTTTTTTTGTTGGTGTGTGTGTTTTAGTTGGCAGCACTGGCACTTTTGTGTGGTGTTTTTCCAAGGACTTGTGTGCGGTGCTGAAACGAACGTTTTTCATATTAGATCGACNGGATTGAAGGCAAGAAACGTCCAGGTAGACCAAAAACGGCCTGGCTAGATAACATCAACACCTGGTTTCACATGACAACAGCACAAGTTCTACACACAGTGCTAGACAGAGAACAATATCAAAATGAAGTCGCAAACGCCATTCGGCAGCATTAAAGAAGAAGAAGAAGTCAATATCCCGGGGCTGGCTCCACATTTCAGGTTGTTTGATTCAACAGTGCAATCCGTTATGTCGTATAGTGCTCAGGTCTGGGGTTTGGCTAATGCTAATAATTTTGAGTTAACTCATAGAGAATTTTTGAAGAAAATACTGGGCCTCAGATATCACGCATCGAATGTGGCTGTTTTGTGGGAAACTGGGTGGGTACCACTGAAAATCTTTTTTATAAAAGCAGTTCTAAAATATTATGTAAGATTGTTGGAATTGCCTAGGGATAGGCTACCTAGAATTAGTATCGAAAGAATGTGGATGAAAGCGGAGAGTAATTCATGGTGGCTGGATTTCAAAAATTGGTTGGAACGGCTGGGATTCGGTGAAATGGTTACCGAGAAACAAATTGATAGATGGAAAGAACGAATACCATCTATAGTTATGAGATGCATAGAACTAGAACTACAGAATATGAATAATGTGCTGAATAGTTCTGGGTTGCTACGATATTATCGTCCGGTTAAACCTGATTTTGGCATGGCAGGGTATTTAAGGGATGTTGGAATCTCAAATGCGACGAAAAAACAGATTGCGAAACTGCGGTTGAACTGTTTTATGTCAAGAAGTGCTTCTTTGGTGTGTATAATTTGCAACCAGATCTGTAGTTAGTGATTGGTGCTTTCATATGTTTAGTAATTGTGGAAATGATATGTACGGGGAATACTTAAGAATGTTGCGTAGTGGTTTTAATTCCGGTTTCGTGGATTTAAAATTTAACAAGATGTTAAAGAAATTAGATGGTTTGAATTAAGCGAATTTATTGTTTTGTTTTCCCCCCTTTGATATTGTATTGAATTATATGTCAAATAAACGATTATTATTATTATTATAGAGCTTATCATTCTGGGATCAAAACGTCATACGAAGGACGTAATGACTGGGAACGCCATACGAAGCACTTTTTAGCTGTAAACCTAAAGTAGGGCTTACAATGTCTTTTCTACCAGAAGATGTTTTAAAAGACAAATACAGAGGAGCAGCTAGAAAAAGTAATAGAAAGTGTCGAAAACAATGGAAAAAAGGTGAAACTAATCGGATTATGNATTTCTACAAATAAAATATTATATTAAATAAATTAATATACGCAACACACACACACTCTGAGAGTTTGTGTGTGTTGCGTATGTAAAATCGTTGAATATCATCAACGATTTTACATGATGCACTCATTCATCGCATGTATTTCTTAGTCATCGAGACTATTCCTATATTGTCAATAATTTAAAATTTAAAAACACACACTGCAAATTAAAAGAGAAACGAATTTACAGAAGAGATATCGAAGCTTCAGTTTCGCAAGAGAAAATCTGAATGTATTTTTCTAAATCATAAATTGTCTTTTTAAGAAGCGAATGCAATCAAGTTTCAGTATAAAGTCAAAGCAAGCAACTTTGTTCGGCTCCATTTCTTTTTATTCAAATTTTCATACTACTTACTGTTGATGTCGAAAATGTCAAATGTTAGCATTGTTTGTTCTTTCTTATTTTTGGGAAAGTTGGTAACATTTTACTTTTCCTTTTCCCAATATATTAATTTGCCACACAATATAATTTACCTTTAATTAAAGCTTCATTAAAATGTAATTTTTCAGAAGTTTTTCTAATTATTCTGTACATGTATAACTATTTATCTCTCATTGTTCTTAATGAAATTTTCCCATTAATTTTTTCTAGCTCTTTGTTTAGTTATGGCAACGCGACACTTGGGCGATCTGCCTTCCGGGAGGTCTTTTTAAGGGAAACTGGCCCCTATTTAGACGTTACGGACGTGGAGAAAACCAGGAAACTCCACGTGGCCGGCTCGTCCGAGCCAGGCGCGAACCCATCACCGAACGCCCAGTGTTCGGGAACGAAGACCGCTCGGCCACCGGTGGGCACCATTCTTTCTAGCATTTATACCGTTCTGCACTGAATACAAATGTTTGTTAGACATTTGTATAAAAATAAGAAATTAAAAGCAAT